GCTGCTGATGAGGATGAATCGGCGGGTCCGTTGCGTCGTGCAGGCTCGCGGCTGAAGACAAAGTCGTCGTCGGACTCCTCGCCGAGGGCTAGACAGAGAAGGGCAAGATCGGAGTCAGCGACCAGCGTCGACAGGCGCGAGGAGCAAGACTGCATGTCTGTCTCGAACTTACTTTGTCGGAGCTTGCGCTTGGCTTTCGGCGGCTCCTCGCGTCTGCTGCTTGCCTGTTTGACCTTGCGCGCAGCGGCGTCCACCTCTTCTCTACTTCTCTTCGACGTAGAAGATTTGACGGGCTGGAAGGCACCCATGCTCATGTCCATACGGCGGGTGTCATCAGCAGCGAAGGAGCTGTCCAGGACATCTTCGAATCTGCGTTCCTTTCTATCTGTCTTTTGCTTGGCAGCGTTGCGTGCGGCGACGGTCGGAATGACGCCAGACGATGCGGCTGATGATCGAGTGGAGGAAGAGGAAGCGGTGGCGGATGAGCCGGAGGTTTTGCGTTTGGACGAGCTCGGCTGCGCGTCTGCCGACGAGGCAGATGTGCTGAGCCGCGTCGATCTACGTGCTGTTGCGGGCATGCTGATTCAGGCGAGCGCGGAGGAGGTGAGGATAGGGTGTGGTCGGGTGACGCGCAGCATCTGGGGTGCAGAAAGTGGATGCGAAAGACGGTGCTGTGATCGAGACTGCCAGTCCGATTGTCTGTGGGTGGTTGAGGGTATCGATGATAGATAGCGGCGATGCTCCAAAGCGCTAGTAAGATCGCAAGCGTTCTGGCGGCCGTGCTAGACGCACAAGATTGAGCAGCTTTCCAGAGTGTGAGGTGCGTAGTTGCGGGGGAAGCAGCGGTCGGGCGGGTCGTGGGAACGCCTAGACCGAGTGCAGTTGGCCGCAGTCGAGGATGCGGAGCGGACGGATGTGCCGATATGGAGGACTCCAGGCTTGTGGTGCTCGCAGATCAAGCCGCGCAGATGGAGGTCGGAAGGCTTTGCGGATGGAGCGGCGGATATCCCGTCGCGTGATTGCATGGTCAAGCGGGCCCGCCGAGGCACGTCGAGGTGCAAAAGCGTGTTTTGGCTGCGTGCACCCTGCCGAGCGCCCCAGACGCGTCTCACTTCGGAATCGAGGTTGCTTGAAAATTTCACATGTGCAGATGTGAGGCCTGACATCTTGATACAAAAGAAATATTGGCCCAGCTTCTCGCTCTCCAAACGCTTTCGACGTCAACTCAAAGCCCGTTCTGTTGCTCCCCTCTCTTACGTCTGGGCGATCTGTTGAGCGGTGCGACCAGCATCAAAGAAACTGAGCTCTCGCGAGTGGGTACAGTCGATCATGGAGGACACAGGGAAGGCAGTGGGGCCAAGGAATGATCAGGTGGGGGAGACACCTGACGTCGAACGAGCTTGCATGAGAGTGTCATGCAACCGGCCAATCCGTCACCTTTCTCGTCAACGTCGGATCCATTGCAAGCTGGCTTGCGTACTTCACAATCGGCAGGTTTAAGCCCGTCCGTTCGCAGTGATCTGCGTGCTATTCATGCTCGAACAGCTCGGTCGGTGCTGCTCCCAATCGGACCATGCGGGATGGCTTCCGGTGTTCCTGGACGAGGAAATGCGGTGGTCTCGCAGCGATCTTCGAGGTGTGCATGTGTCTGTCTCACTGACAGACCTGAGCGGAGACGATGGGGAACAGGGGAGAGACAATGACTTGGTGGGCGAGTGCATCGCTGCTGCTTTGCTGTTGCCTCATCCCACTGCGAGCAGGCATGAATCTCGGCGGCGAATGGCTTTGTCCCTGCCTGGGCTTCATTTTCGAAATCGGTTGGCGGCGGAGCGCAGCTCGGAGCAGCAGCGCAGGACAGCGCAGGGCAGCGGAGAGCGGAGAGGAGGGGGATTCTATTTAAATTTCGCGATCATGGCGAGCGCGTAGACGGTGCACTGGCCCCTGATCCACGCCAATCGCTGACGAGCCTGGTTGCCGAGCCGCTCTCTTCTCCGCGCCTTGTCTCAGCGGAAAGCGTGGATGCAGGCCGGCTCGACTCGAATCCGCCAGCCGTCGTGCCCTGGCGCTGCCATCGTTGCCGTACGTTGACCCTCGCTCTGCTCCACACCCTACCTCCTCCATCCCCGCGCGGCGCGCTCCTTTGTCCTCCTCAGCGCGCCCATTCGTCGCTCGAGGTGAGCTTTGCACGTTACACCAGGCCGCAATACCGTCGCATCCATCGCACGATTCGCATACAGACGTCCATCGCCCTCGCCGGAACGCGGCCTTCTACCACTGCACCTGTCGCCGTCGCACACTCACGGCCCCGACGCGGACGGAAGCTCGCCACCATCCGTAATTGCGACCGACTGAAGCGCATGATCTCTGGATACACTCACCAGCAGCGGCACCGCAGCATCTCGCGATGACCGACGTCGATACCTCCGTCGCACAAGCCAGCTTGGCGAACGGCAAATCACACGCCAATGGGCACTTTGGATCGGGATCGTCCGGGTCTCAAGCCACTGCCACACATCCCGCGGAACATGGAATCCCTGATCCTCTTCTCTCAGATGCATTCGGCCCCTCGAGCTCGCTCAAAGCCATCTCATCGGGCGATTCGACCGGCAAAGGCAAGCAGGCGGCCACAGACTCAGCCACAACCTACCTCGACTCGGACTACCACAAGGCGACATCCTCCCTGACGCCCATCGACGAGTCTCCGACCGACGCAGCATTCTCATATTCGTATCAAGACTCGTATCGATCGTCAGCGAACGACTATGCGCATCAATCCTCCAGTCACCGCACGTCCGACCATGTCCGCATCGACTCGCCTGACATGGACGAGGTTCCTTACTCGCCCACGACATACCCACCCATCAGTGAGGAGGATTCGGAAGCCAAGCGCGTGCAGCAGAACCTGGAGCGTTGGGCGGCCGAGGAGCGCCAGAGGCGCAAGGCGCAGCGCTCCTCCAAGCTTCTCGCCAACCGCAACTTGGTCGCCGCGGGCACAGGCGGACTTGCACAACGGCTTTCGATCCTGCGTACCTCTGCACAAACCAACAACAATAATCTGGGTGCTGGTCCTTCGTCAGAGCGGCTCGCCGACGGACCTGGAGCAAGTCCAAGCATGCCGTACGACCCACGGCTCGGCGCTGCGGACCGACGCGGGTCAGGATCTTCGTCAGCGGCAGCTGGGCAGGGCCTGCACCGGTCTGCAAGCTCGTCGTCGTTCGACAGCTCTCAGTCTCTCGGCTCGCTCACCTCGGATGATCCTCGTCCCAATCGACGGCTGCCGCCCATCGGCTCCCGCGTCTCGTCGGCGACGCACGCCAGGAACACGAGCTCGGGCAGCGGCGGCTCGTTGAAGGGATTCGGTACCACGGCGAACGGCAGTGCGCGCAATCCCTTCCGCGATCCTTCGGATGGAGGCGCGCCAGAAGTGACACTCGAGAAAAGAGCATCGCTCAAGCCCCAACCCACGGCCTCGCGCCCGATCGTCACTGTTGGCCGCGCCTCAAGCATCCAGCGGAGAGCGCTGGAATCGGGCTACAATTCGAAGGGCAAGGGCAAAGGGCGCTCGATGCCAACCATTGTCGCCACTGATACCGAAGCTGAAGCCGAGGCTGAGGCTGAGATGGGCCGCATCTCGTCGCGCGTTGACGATGAGAATCCGTTCGCCTCCAGTGAAGACCGCCAACCTCGTGCTAGGACCGAGTCCTCCACGATGATCCACGAAGGAGGCTTGGACGAGGAGGTCGCCCTCGAGATGGCTGGCAGAGCTCAAGCGGAGCTGAACAGTGGCGACATCGGCGAGTCGAGCTTGAGCACGGACCAGCCGATTCGGCCGCCGCCCGGCAGGACATCGACAAGCAGCTCAAAGTTCCGCGAGCTCGGCATCACCGAGGGCGACGATTGGATCGAGACCATGGGCAGGAGCCTGGGCAAAGGTCGGAGCCGCAAGATGCGCATCGCGCCGCACGCCGATGGCGACGAGACTGCACACGAGCCGAGGAAGCCGTGGTGGACCGAGCTGCTGTGCGGATGCAGCCGCGACGAGGACGATGATGAACAGGTAAGTCCAACCCTTGACGCGAGGCACCACGAAGACTCGACGACTGACACGTTTCGATCTGCATCACAAACTCTGATGCGCCGCGATCTCTCTTCATCAGGCTGGACGAACCAATCCCATGGAGTAGCCGCCGTACAAGCATCTTCACTGCAACTGCAATATAGGATCTAACTTCCCGCTTCCGTCCTCAATAAGTGTGACAAGACGGCATCCAAGGCCGAGGCCGCTCCAAGATGGCGCCGAGCCGCGTCAAAGCAGGCGAAAAAGAGGCATCGGGTGTGGCTCCCACGCGCGACTGCGCTGGTGGAGGTTTTTTTTAGGGCGCGCAGCGCAGTCGCCCGCGCACGGATGGGTCGAAACAGCAATGCTTCATTCGGAACGTCCGATCTTGAGCGAATCTGCGCACCTCGGCGAGAAAGCTGTGCCCTCTAGTGGCCCGCAAACGCGGTCGCTCAGTCTGGGCGCGAAGGATGCGGCCAAGTCAGCACAGTCTATTCAGCACGACCTGTTAAGGAGGCAAACTAGAAGGGGGAAGGGGCGAGGAAGAAGGCCAGCACAATAAGGCTTCGCCTCGAACAATGACCATAACCCTTCCCGCTCTCTAACGATGTCTGGACGCTCGCAGAACGTCGATCAAGTCATGCACAGCATGTCGAAGCGCACTCGCGCCTCGTCAAAGCCACGGCCGCGTCGCCGTCGCCAGGCTCCGCCCACGATCGTCCCCCTTTCCGCGAGTGAGGATGACGACACGCAGGACGACGCCCCCGTCCAGCGACGCCAGTCGCCACCATTGATGGACGTGGACGCGGAGAGCTCGGATGG